TGGGGGGGGGGGGGTGCGGGCAACCCAGGGGAATTTTGACATTTTTAAAATTTTGTGGTCAAAAAATTCCCCACTATATTCCTAAGATAACAAGGCACACATATGTTTTCCAGTGCGAACATACAGTCTATACTGGGAGTTGATGCATGGTCAAATTTCCCTCGCTGGGGCTTCATAGTGTGGTCAAATTTCCCTGGGTCGCCCACACCCTCCCCCCCAGGTGCATAACAACCTCGACATGTTTACATATTTGATTAAACATGATTTTTAACTCAAGTAAAGGGGATGGGGGGGGGGAGGGCTTGGAAAATCATATATTTGATGTCTGCACTTTTGGTAGCCCACCCCTTAATAGCTGCACGAAAATTTGAGGCCCACCTTTAAATTGGTGCTGAAAAATTATGACCCACCCTTTCAGAAACGCAAAAAGATACCAGCATTCTATTTTTCTGTTTCCAAATAATTCTGTGTTACAATACTCAATAGCTATTCAAATGGTGCAATTAAAATTCAGGGCCTCTTTTAAGGATGTGTAATTGGAGAGGACATATTTAGTGGGGGATCTGGAGAGGTTCCAGTTGGCAAGTCTGTATCACTGTAGCTACCAGCATATATATGCATGGTTTAACTAACAAACTATATGTCATAGGGCAGCAGATCAGGCCGAAACTGGGATTCTGAGACAACCGAGTAGTCGACCACCCAAGGTGTGAGCTTCCAAGGGGTCTGGGGGCATACCCCCAGAAAATTGTGGATTTCTTGAAGCTCATAAGCTATTTCCCGCATTCTGAGGAGTTTTCCAACAAGAAATTAACCTTATAAACAGTGACACAATTACTGCAATTTCACAGTCTCCCAAATGTAATCCAGTCCCAATAAGGCAACATGGTGTGATGATGCGGTAATTAAAATTTGTGTGGTACCGGTATAGTATTATCATTCACCACACTTCAAATTCTACAGTACTGTATTACATGTATCGGGGTACTTGAAATCGACGCATTCGTCTTCTCAGTGTCACTGAAGAGCAAGATAGGGTGGTCTCTTTGGAGTATCTTTGCTTGGAAAAACTAAACTAGAAATTCGTCCTAAAAATTTCATGCCTTCTTCTAGGAGGAAATTATTTCAGTCATGGTTTAGGTTTCTGGCGATGTTTAAATTTCAGTCCCCAAATTTTGGCCTACCGAGTCAACGGACTCGCTGGACTCATACTAGTTACGGCCTGCAGATGATGGTCAAAATCAGAAATGTTAACAACTTAACATTGTTTTCTCACTTTGATACATAATTGCTGGTTGACCACTTACTGCAGGTATCTCTTAGGGACCTCGCTGGGGGGGGGGGGCAAAATTGCTGACTGGAGGGACCAGTACTGAGGGCTGGGAGGGGACATGTCCTCCCCAGCCTATATGTTAAAAAAGGCCTTGAATTAAATACAGAAAGTTCTTTCTTTGCATTGAACTTCCCATGCATACTGCATTATTCAGTATCTTTCTCATAATTAGAGACCTTTAGTTTGACATTTACAGCTAACGCCAAACCGCTAACGATGATTGTGATGATTTAATTATGCTCTTGTAGATATTACACTAATTTTGTTACATAATAAACATCCTACATAAAGCACGTGACATTTAGCAATAATGATTATCAGAAAATTAGTTAGCCACTACCAACGTATTAGCCAAGACAGTAAATTCAGCTTTTAAGTTTGAGGTTAACGTTTGCGGTATAAATTTTACATATGGATCCTGATACATTGTATTTATATTTTTATAATATGAATTTTAATACACATACCCTTGAAAAAATTTCTGCATATTTTTTCATGGCCCATCCTTACGATTGCACTTAACTTTCGATGACCCACCCCTTCAACTGTGCTCAAAAATAGTGACCCACCCCCCTATTTTTCCCTGCCCACCCCACCCCCCCCTTTTACTTTATGACCAGTCCCTTAGTAGTGCTTGCATCTTTGTGGATGATCAAAAGTAATACTACTCTCTTTTTTCCGAGAAATTTGATATTTTTGATTCAATTGCTTCTGATGCAAATATCTCGACGAGTATTTAACCCCCTTTAAAACCGAAACCACCGTTGAAATCCTCATAAAATAACCTTTGGAAGGAGGGTCAAATGCCGTCATAACATTACACAAACCAAAACAATCGTATATATTTTACTCACCGCTTGGCCAAACATTCTGTATTAATTCAGATCGAGAAAAACTTGAATATATCTTGAACTCTTTGGAATTCGCCACAAGTCAATAGAAGTATAGAATACTCCTTGTATACAAGCGCTTTCGTGTAGAAAATTTCGTTTGAATACGGCCAGTAGAAATATTTATTTTGAATTTTTCAAAATATCGGGTTTTTACTCCGGTTAGTTCACAATCACACCAGTAATGGAAATACCATAATAAAAGATGTAATTTTAAAGATACAAGCTCAAAAAGAACACTCTAAATAGTGTTTTGAATTCTCTTTTGAACAAAACTAATACAAAGAGGATGCGTCCCAACCGGCCGAAGTTATGTTCGGCGAAACGTATGCATAATATAGTATATATTTATCGACAAGTATAAATATTGCGTACTATAATTTGATAATAATTATACAGCACGTATACAATCCCGCATGACTTTCAAAGGCCATAAATCGCTATAATATTAACATTTTACTAGAACTATCGATCGAAATTAGGCGATAATTTTGTACTGAATCGAACGGTGGTATTTTCATCTACACAGCATGTACTTAACCGAAGATACGAACCTCCAAAAACCTGCAGGTCGAAACCGACTTGGTTTAATTCGCCAAAGGTCTTGCATGCACGTTTGTTTATAAATATTGCTGAAGTTGAAATAGTTGAAATGGTATTTTAAGTCTTGATAATAAATTTCATAATGTTCTGTATGCTATACATACTCATCTACAAGTTTCTTCGCTTGCATATTGGCGAATCAAAGCATGGCCTTCTGCCAATACCTGTTCGCTAAATACGTTGTTTTCATGCATTCTTTCATAGTGTATAGTTTGTATTTATTGTATTTAAAACTTCTTTTAAGACGCTGGCCCCATCAGCTACAGACTGGTTTTCATGGGGGGCGTCTACTACACTATATTATACTAAATTAACAAGACTACTGACTATATTACACTATATATTTACAAGAAGAAACTATTACTATTTACCAATTACACTATATACAAAAGGAAAAAAAAAAGAATAACAAACTAGATCAATATAACAGCACACACTATTGATAACTGCTTAAAGACGTATTTAAATAGATAAGTACTAGTTTTCGATTTCGATTAACCTCTTGAAAGTATAAATCGTAGGAGCACTCTTGGCATCATAAGACAGACTATTCCATAAGTTAGCTCCTCTATATTTAAAACTACTTTTTAGAAATTCTTTTTTAGGTTTTGGAATTGAGAGGTCAGTATCATATCCTCTCAAATTATAAACATTATGGTCACTCCGTGCAGAAAATGTTTCGCGAAGGCACGGGGCTGTGCCATTTCTAAGGATGTTGTATACCATAACCGCCTTATTGAATTTAAATCTGGTATCGAGATTTTTCCAATTGAGCCATTCAAGGAGTTCAGAGGAATTGGTATCATAGTTTGCTCCCGTCAGAACCCTTGCTGCTCTATTTTGGAATCTTTGCAATTTTTGTTTTAGTAACGCCCCACAATTATCCCAAAGGGGAGAGCAATAATCAAAATATGGTTGAATTAATGCTTTGTAGATGGTGTGCAAGATCTCATTTGGGACAAATGATCTAGTACGTTTTAATATTCCAATTCCTGCACTAACTTTTTTACAGATTGAGTTAATGTGAGTTTCCCAACTTAGGTGTTCGTCAAGTTCAACTCCCAAACACTTAAATGACCGAAAACGAACCAATGGTTTGTTATTAAAAATCACCAATTTATTGCCAATTTTGTTCCGAATATTATATGGCGAGCCTATAAACATTAATTTTGTTTTAGTAGCATGGTGTTGCAATTTGTTGTCCGACAGCCATTTGCTAATATTTTTCAAATCAGAATTCAATAGATCTACCAATTCATCATAGTTATGAGATGAAGCATATATCTGTGTGTCATCGGCGTATAAACCCGCCGTAGTATATTTTAAATATTTTGGCAAATCATTGATATATAATAGGAACATCAAAGGACCAAGAATTGATCCTTGGGGCACTCCACTCTTTATTGTTTTACGGGAAGAGAAATGATCATTAACACAACAGACTTGCTCACGGTTTGTCAGATAAGAACCAAACCAATTTAACTCATTATCATAAATACCAAACTGATTTTTCATTTTAGTTGGAGACCTTGTCTAGAAAAAATAGCAGATGTTTTCCCGCAAACTGGACGTAACACTTTCTTATTTCATAGAACTAGTAAATAGTCTCTTTGTGAGCTCGTTGCAGTAATATAGAGATATTTTTTCAGCTATTTTGATTTGAATTTTGGTTTACCGCCATATTGGGTGTGGCATCGTGCAGAGGCTTCGCGCCTTTCCGCTCCTTCGCTCATAGCCAACTCATAGCCTCTGTGTAGGAGAGAGACTTTTCATCATGTTGTTTCATAAAACATGTTTTGCAGGGAAAGAAACCGAATTATATAAATAAACCCGTTATATAAAGTCACCTACTTGTCACCAAGCTTTCATTAGAATTCATTGTCAAAGAAGCAGATGGCATCAACTGATCTGCTGGTGTCGACATTTTTGATGAGTTGGTAGAATTAGATTTTTCTAAATAGATTAAAAAAAAGTAGGTCAATCACAGAAAATCGGAAGCCTGAGTGTTCCAATTTGCCTCATTCTCATTTGCACCCCGAATACTTCCCAAAGAGTCCAACAGTAGGTATATATAGCTTTAGTTCAACAATTCTGTTAACAATGACTTTTAACCATGATTTCGCATTGTCGTCAACAGGGAAGCCTCTGGCATTATGATACTAACACTTTCTCCTGCATGACTACCAGATACTTCGCCATGAGGGAGAGTTTTCAAGGCGTCAAGAAACGGCATCTCTTAATTTCCCGGCAAATCGATATATTAGGCCCCGGTAGAAAAAGGTCGTCAGGTTTAGATTAGGGCGAGCGTCAGGGTTGGGGATAGGGTTCAAATTAAGGCTATGTTTTAATTTTCCGCCTCAATTTTGGGAAGAGATTACGCTGAGATGACGAGTGACAACGACCGCCGTTCTTGTTTAAAATCAGGGGCCGGTTGTATGAAAAAGTGATTAAAGTTAACTATAGCTAGTGGAAACGTCATCCAATAAGAAGCGCGTATTTGAGGGTTAATCACTATCTAACTACAAAATAGTGACTAAAAAAGTGATTAAGAGTTTTATACAATCGGCCCCAGGAAGCTAAAACTCCATTGGCTGCTGTTGATTTCAGGCAAGAACTGCTGACGCCATCACTCTCCATTTCAGATTCACTTACAACACTGTCAAAAATATCGCTTGCTTAAAGGCACAGTTCAGCCTTTTGAATGATAGTTTTTAAGGCGCATTTTAGTCCTTTTGATTGAAAAAACTAACTCAGGAAAATCAATTAAGCATAATTCAAGATCAGCAAACGTAATGTTTTTAACATGTTAAAACATTTTTAATTTACTGTATTGTTCAAAACATTCAGTTTACTGATCTTGGATTATGCTTAATTGATTTTCCTGTAATTAGTTTTTTCAATGGGTAATTCCAGCTATGGACGAAATTTTGATCTATATATACGAAATCAAACACCATACCTAGAAAGAGCGTCTTAAAATGAGTAAAATTGCAAAGTTTGGTTGCGAAATGTTGTAAAATGAGGAAAATATAGCTCTGTGAAGTTCGCAAATTTTGTATATATTTGCATTACGGGCGGGAAAAATAACTATTTTTGAGCGGAAAGTGGTTATTTTTACCGCGCGTAATGCAAATATACTACAATATTTGCGAAATTCTCAGGGCTATATTTTCAGTCCTCATTTTACAACATTTCGCAACCAAACTTTGCAATTTTACTCATTTTGAAATGGTCTTTCTAGGTGAGATGTTGGATATCGTTCTTCTTGCGCAGATCAAAATTTCGTCCATAGCTGGAATCACCCATTAAATGTGCTGAAATGCGCCTTAAAAACCACCATTCAAAAGGCTGAACTGTGCCTTTAAGCTCGGTATTGAAGATGTACTACATAATTAATTGAAAAATGTTTGGATTAAGTTATATACATACGAATTGTTCTCTCCAATATAGTTAGCAATAAGGTCTTTGTTCGGCAGCCTGGGCCACTATTCCTGGCGAAACATAATACAGAAACATCGTTTGCAGCTTTGGTTAACGTAAACGTGTGAACACATACAACCCGTCCTCCCGTTTCAAGACAAGTTTTCAGATCATTTCCATCGAAAAATACTTTAACCCGAGCCGGCGGCATCGGTTGGATGTTTGGGAAGTGATAACGAGGTTTATCAGCGATGCAGGTTATTTTTAGCACATCACCAATATAGGCAACTGGTCCTGAAGATAATGTGATGTTTAAATCTGGCTGCCCCGCGTCCGCCTGTACTATAAAAAATACGATTCAGAAAAAATTGTTATGATTCTGCCTATAGGACTATAGTGAAGAATTTTTTCAGCATAAATCTACAGTCATAACATGCATTATTTTTAATGAGTGAAAATGAATCCGGCCCGCTCTGAAACGTAACTGCCCGCTCTGGTTTTCGTGCCAAAAACCGAGGGGTGAAACAAATTTTTAAATTAAAATATCTGCCCAAAAAGCAAAAAAATTCAGCAAAAATTTTTTACTTAGTTTATTGAAAAGTAATAGTTGCAGGAAATTTTTTTATAAATTTACGAAAATATTACTGGAAAATTGTACAAATTACAGTACATTACTTCGAAAGTTAGTGAAAAGTGGTATCTCAGAATTTTTTACTCCTCCCCCCGCCCCCGCTCTCCAACAAATTTGGGAAAGATTAATTAGCGACTGAAATGCTCGCACGACTTCGGCCACGCCCTTTTGATCGGGCAAAACAAGCTCCCCCTCCTCCCCCCCCCGCCCCAGCCGTAATACCGAAGTTACGGCCCTAGCAAGTTGAAATGCCACCAATGTTGGAAAATCCATGACCAATTCAAATTGTCGAAATAACAAACTATCTGATGGTAATTTTAATTTCCGGATACAAAGCTTCCGGGCGACGGTTTTTCGAAAGCGATTAACGGCCTAGGTTAACCTGTAATAAAATTCAACTTTCAACAGCTTATTTGTAAATTTTGAAATATTTCTTTAGAAATCTTGCAAGAATCAATAGGAATCGTTTTCTCTGACTAAAACAACAGGCTAAAATTTAGGTGTTGGCATGGTTATTTTATCCGTGACCGAAAACTAATGTGCTAACGCTATTTGTCCGGGACAACTATTTTCTCTATTCTGTCATCATGCTAAAATTACATCAAGAAAATTCCTTGGTGGCCCAGTGGGGAATTCATTGACAATTCATGAAAACACAAAAGAAATCATGAGCGTGAAGGAGTTTGTGTATCTAATACAAAATAATGCTGATTTACATGAACTTTAAGTTTAATAGGCAACTTGCATGTTACCAAAGCATCATGGGAAAAATGGTAACCTTCACTTGCGCGCGAAATGGCCGCCGTGGAGCGAGCATTTTGCATGTGAGAAATATAGTTTATTTTTAACACTTTTTTCGTAACGTTTGAAAATTTGAAAACAAGGGAAAACTTTGTAATGCTATAAAGTTTGTTTTGACTCAAGTACAGCGAAATCGAACCGAAAATGGACGAGAAAATTCCTGTAGAAGAACTGAGGAGCAAACAGTGTGCTCATAAATACGTTCTAAGAGGAAGGGCCTTCCCAACGTTTTAAGGTGAGCACGCTTAGTAAACATCGGACAGCTCACCATTTTAACCTACAAATATGTGTGTTTTTTCTCGATGTATATATCTCGTATTTTGACAACGATCGAGTGTTTCCTGCGGATTTTTTCGCTTGTTGAAATCGACTAATTCATGACAAAATGTCTGTCGATCGCTCGATCAGCATGGCGCTCAAACACAATGTTTTAAAGAGACCTTAAAATGTTTTGGCGCGAACTAGAAGATGTTCAAACCGGATTTTTCTGTCCCGGCTCCGTTACTTTGTAAAAACGCCAAAGAGAAAGCATTTTGCCTCTGTTGTCGCTTATTTTTCTGCTTCCTTTGTTGTTGTCGGTTTATTTCCTGTCAAAATAAACAAGTAGGTTTTTAGTATTAAAATATTAGGCTTAAAATGTATTAAATTCGTTGTTATATTAACGTAGGAAAAACCGCTTTACATTTGCATTTAAGGTAGTAGAATATAATATAGTCAATTTTTTAAATTTAGTTATTTATAGTAAATTTAGGTATTTTAATCTTCAGGCAGGTCCTAAGGATTAAATTTGTAAATAGTGAAATAAATAATTAAGGTATAGGTTTAAATAATTTAAATTTTTTTATGGATATTGATGAAAGCAACACAGAAAATGCATGTTCTAAAAGAAAATATAAAGGAGGTGGAACAACTTGCTATATTCCAACATGTAGTAGCAACACTAAAAGAAAACCAGAACTCTCATATTACCAAATTCCAACTGACAAAAAGCTCGGAAAGAGGTGGTTGCATTGGATCGGACGAGCTAATTTTACACCAAACAACCATCACAGAGTTTGTTCAAAGCATTTTGTGAGTGGCAAGAAGACATGTCTTCACAACGTTCCAACTATAGTGCAAAAACTATTACTGCCCATCCAACCGAAACCCAGAACAACATCTAAATGCAGAAATAGAGACAACACAATTGAAGAGAGTCCTGAGATAGAAGATGAGCCAACAACTAGTGAGGACAGAATTTCAGAACTTGAAAAGCTGGTTGAAAACCTTCAGCAGAAAGATCAAGAACAACAAGAAAAGATATCCGATTTGTAGGGAAAAGTCGAACAGTGCAGTTTTTCTATATACCACATTAAAAATAAGGATAGCGATATCGAGTTTTATACTGGCTTTTCTAATTACAGTACATTTAAGGCATTTTATGACTATCCTTGCCCTGCATGTGAAAGGTTACAATATATTGGATCTTGGAATACTACAAAGCCAACAGAAAATCGAGAAAAATGTGTACCCAGGAGGACATTATCACCAGAGCAAGAGTTATTCTTGTGCCTTGTAAGATTTAGATTGGGTTTGCTCGAGAGGGACTTAGCCAACAGGTTTAACATATCCGAATCCCATACCTGGCTTGATTTGATTTCTTATACAGACGTTTATGGTCCATACCCATTTGGCCTTCTCAAAGTTATGTGAGAGAAACTTCACCACCAAGTTTTAAGGAGAGTTATCCAAACACAAGGGTCATAATCGACTGTACAGGGTTATTCATTGAAACACCTTCTCAACCAAGAAGCCAAAGTGCTACCTTTTCAATCTACAAAAACCATGACACTGGTAATTCAAAGGCTTGATTGGCATTGCCCCAAGAGGATACTTAACTTTTGTTTCAGAACTTTATGCTGGTAATACATCTGATAATCAACTGACAAATGACTGTGGAATCTTGAAATTATTGGAACCAGGTGATGAAGTGATGGCAGATAGAGGCTTTGAAATTGATTTACCACCAGGCGTGTCGTTGAACATACCCCACTTCCTTGGTGAGCAAGCACAATTTTCAAAAGAGGATGAGATTAAACTAGGAGAATTGCTAAACACAGGATACATGTTGACAGGGCTATCCAAAGAATTAAAAGCTTTCGCATTCTCAAACATGACTTGCAGATATCTATGGCTGCAGAGTTGAACAAAATTTGGGTTATTTGTTCATATTTAACTTTGTTTTTCAGGCCATTAATTATTCAACTACATGAAGGATGAATTCTATATTACTGTATATGACTCTAGACAGTTCAGTCCAGTGTTTGTCTGACTTTATTAAGTACAGTTAGTAGTGTGTCTACTATTTAAATTATGTTATGTGAACATATAATTATGTTATAATACAGTAACAGTATCTGGCACTAGATAATTAAAATAGAAAGTTGTTAGATCAGGTAAAGTACACTTTTCCCATTCAACTTTGCTAAAATAAATCCTTTCAACATGGGCATCACTTACAGTATATACAACAAAGTCTACAAAACACAACTGGCAGATAGCCATAACTCCTTGCACTTGATAATAATATACATGATTCTTTTTTACACATGGCTTTCCATTTACTATCTCTAAACAAACTTGTCACTGCATGCATTGATGATACTCATCCCAGATTTAAATGCAGGGCATTTTACCTCCACAGCTCCATACATTGATTCTTCTCTCTTGTCCAATATGAGAGCATCTGGACTAGCACCAAGCCATGGCCACATTGGATTGACCACTAAACCACAGGCTGAGCAAAGAGCTATGTGCTCGTTGATTTCGTCTTTATATTCATGGTACTTTACCAACACCTTCTGTTTGTTCTCAATTCCCCATTGACAACTTGCATTCTTTATTTGACTTGGCTTAGTAATCTTGTTCACAATAGTTTTTGGGTAAACAACCAAATAATGATGAAGTCAACCGACATTTTCTCTGTTTATACCACGCTTCACACTCATTTTGCTTCCGTGTGTTCTTCTCAATCTCTCTGCATCCCTCATTATTAACAAATAATTTCTCCATAATATATTTTTCACAACTTTCCTTGTCTGGAACACAAGTACAATCTAAATTCTGAGTTAATTTTTTTAGAATACTAGATCTGACCGCTGTTTGGTCCAGTTTGTCACCCACTTCCCCTGCCTTCATTATGCGCTGTCTAGATGGTAATTCATTTGCAGTAAACTCACAAGGCTCACAATTGGTGTTGCCTAGAATACCAACCAAATGACTAGTACTTCCTGCTTTTTCCAAGCTAGTTTTAAACCGTTCCAAGTCATCCTTTGACACTTTCTCACTTGTTGAACAGTAGTCCTCCCTCTTCCCTTCTGGTATTGGGCGTTTGCGTCCTTTTTTGTCCTTATCATACGAAACCTGGGGGGGGGGGGATGAGGTCCTCGAAAAGCAGGGCTGCTTGTGTTGTGTTCTTTCTAGGGACATGCCACTTTTGTAACTCCTGGGTGCAGATTTTATCATCTGGTATATCTGAGAGTCCAAGTTCAATATAATCGAGAGGTTGATACAAAGTGGCCGCCACGTGTTTACAACATCCACCAGCGCCAGCAGGGCAATAGCATTTTGCATAGGCAATATCTCCTGAATGTTGATGAAGGTGAAAATAAACAAGGTACTGTTTTTTCTTCATTTCTGCATTTACATGGCACCGTACAAGAAAATGAACTGCTTCATTTCCTTTCTTTACATTGGGTTTCACCATAATCTGCCTTGGATAACCAGCTTTAAATAGTTTGTATCCACTTCTCTTGTGCTTAAATGCCTCAGCAGGCTTGCCATCAGGTGTTTTTTTAGCTTCTAGTACCAACTGGTCTTCCAATTTTTTGTACGAGAATCCAGGAATAAACTTTAAACTCTTTGTCCAACCATCTCCCAATGCTGCCAAATCCTTATCTGCCTCCGAAGAAGAACCAGGCTCAATATCCATTAAAAATTTTATATCATTCAAACCTATACCTTAATTATTTATCTCACTATTTACAAATTTAATCTTAGGGCCAGCCTGAAGATTAAAATACCTAAATTTACTATAAATAACTAAATTTAAAAAATTGACTATATTATATTCTACTACCTTAAATGCAAATTTAAAACGGTTTTTCCTACGTTAATATAACAACGAATTTAATATATTTTAAGCCTAAAATTTTAATGCTAAAAACCTACTTGTTTATTTTGACAGGAAATAAACCGACCACAACAAAGGAAGCAGAAAAATAAGCGACAACAGAGGCAAAATGCTTTCTCTTTGGCGTTTTTACAAAGTAACGGAGCTGGGGCAGAAACCCCCGGTTTGAACTGCTTTTAGTTCGCGCCAAAACATTTTAAGGTCTCTTTAAAAACATTGTGTTTGAGGGCCATGCTGATCGAACGATCGACAGACATTTTGTCATAAATTAGTCGATTTCAACAAGCGAAAAACTCCGCAGGAAACACTCGATCGTTGTCAAAACGCGAGATATACATCGAAAAAAAACACACATATATTTTTAGGTCAAAATGGGGAGCTGTTCGATGTTTACTAAGCGTGCTCACCTTAAAACGTTGGGAAGGCCCTTCCTCTTGGAACGTATTTATGAGCACACTGTTCGCTCCTCAGTTCTTCTACAGGAATTTTCTCGTCCATTTTCGGTTCGATTTCGCTGTACTTGAGTCAAAACAAACTTTATAACATTACAAAGTTCTCCCTTGTTTTCAAATTTTCAAACGTTACGAAAAAAGTGTTAAAAATAAACTATGTTTTTCACATGCAAAATGCTCGCTCCACGGCGGCCATTTCGCGCGCAAGTGAAAGTTACCATTTTTCCCATGATGCTTTGGTAACATGAAAGTTGCCTATTGTTTCACCAAATATCATTGAAGAATGCGAATGCATGTTCTCATCAAGACGTTTCAGAAGCCATTTCGGCTCGAGTTTGTATGTCCGATCTAACACGGCCCCATTATTACCATTTTTTGGTTCTCCTTTTCTGCATTGCGCATACGTGCCATGAATACAAACCAATACAGTCAGGAATACCAGTTGCAATGATAGACGACAATCCATTTTCTTGCCAACGTGCAAACAGGTTGAAGCTAAATGATCAAAAAATGAAGAAAACATACATACCAATAAGTGTTTTCAGATAAAGAAATAAATAAATGAAATTCCAAACAATTACATTTTTATTTAAATTTCTGTAGCAAACGATTGCAATTTTATCTTAGGGACCGGTCATTATTTATGGCAGGGGTGGGGGCCGAAGAGAAAATGGTGGGGTAACTGAAAAATAATACTTGCTTTAGGTGGGGTGGCCAAAAAATCCTTGCATGCAGAGGTGGGGTAAAAAAAAATAACCTTACTTTAATCACACACAATACAATATATACTACTATCAGAGTTTAATATGTGATTATTCTAATTTTTTAATAAAATATTATTGCTTTCCAAAATGTTGACAGAAACACCCCCCTCAACCCACCTGTAAAGGGTCATTTTTATATTCATTTACACACAAAATCTCCAAAGACTCCAACGACCAGACAAAATATATATTGCCTATATATAGGAGCTGTTTAAATGGTGCAACTGCAAGCCAACCCCAGGGTACCCAAGCTGGCCCAGTTTTGGCAAAATCCTGCCTTTGTTGTTATTTCTTACTATTAAAAGTTCACCTTGTGTATATATGGGTAAAGAGTGGGCCCAGCTATAGCTAAGTGAGATCCCGCCCCTTTAGTCCGAGATCTTGCTTCAGGAAAAGTGACCTTAAGTCTGTAGCCCCTAACCCCGGGCATACAGCCTCGCCCCCATATAAACATCCCCTTATTACATATCTCAAAAAGTATATGTACAGTCTATTAAATTTTCAGGATTTAATTTTTGGGCATCTACATTTGATACTGTATAACTAATATTTATATCCAGTATGTGCTTGTAAACCATGTGGACAATTCAGGTAGCAAATCATGAAATATGCCCCCATGCCCCTTGTGAATCGATCTGGAGAATCATTCCAATGGCTAGATCATAATATGTTCAGCTCAAACATTGTTCTGAGTCTTTGGCAACTAGCTGTTTTTCTTTACTAGCAGACCATGTATACATGAATAAAATGAGAGAAATCTATTTACCCGTTTTACAAATCAATTTAATTTTTTGTTTATATAATCCACGGTGGGCATAAAAGACAGCGAATTTGGCCAAGTACATATAACTTTCTCTCGTTAGTTTGGAATATCACGAAACTCCCTCACAGGATAGAACTTAACATTCCTAGAAATCGTATGTTTTTTGTTTTTCGATTTTGTTACATTTTGGCGGGAAAATGACGTGCCAACTTTGGCGCCAAAAAATTAAACACGAACTAAGAACATGCTAGTAACTTTTTCCAAAAGATTGTCCTATAAGGATCTCAAAACTGTAAAAACATTAAAAATACAACAAGGCAGTGCGAAGATATGGCGATTCAAAGTTCTATTTTTATTGAAAAATCAGCCATTTTGTTACTAAAAATAGATTTTTTTCGAACTTTGAATCGCCATATCTTCGCACTGCTTTGTGGTATCTTTAATGTTTTTAGAATTTTGAGATCCTTATAGGACAATCTTTTCGAAAAAGTTACTAGCATGTTCTTAGCTCGTGTTTATTTTTTTGGCGCCAAAGTTGGCACGTCATTTTCCCGCCAAAATGTAACAAAATCGAAAAACAAAAAACATACGATTTCTAGGAATGTTAAGTTCTATCCTGTGAGGGAGTTTCGTGATATTCCAAACTAACGAGAGACAGTTATATGTACTTGGCCAAATTCGCTGTCTTTTATGCCCACCGTGATCATACTTGGAATTCGGATGAATATCTTTATCTTCACACTATATAACAGCAACTCTTTCTCATTAATGTACAGTAACATCATTTTCTAAATTCAGATATTCTCACATGGGACATATACTTTAGTATCGTTGTATTGTTTACAAATTAAATTATTAAATTGATTTCATAAACTTCAAGAATTCCTTGGGAATTCTTAAGGAATTCCTTTAAAATTCCGTGATAATACATGTGATTGTCTATAGTAAGGAAATGTTAAAGGAATTTCAGAGGAAATTCTAGAATTTAGATAGTTGCAATCATGGGTGAGCACATATTTTGTGAAACTGTTTCACAATAAAATTGCATTTTAATTAATAAAGAAATGCAAGAATGTGAAAGAAACCAAATTATATACAGTGAAACTTTAAAGTGGGAAAGGGGTGGGTGGTGAAATACAGTTAGTGTTCTAAAATACTGAAATATATGCTGTACAGGTTTTATATCAGTGCATGGTTAATATATGTATATGGGACTAGCATTGCAATCTCGTGAAAAGGGAATGTAGCGTTGAATAGAAACTATAAAAACCCATTCATATTTCAATTTTACAAGTAGACAAATTTTAAGCCTTCAGATAATTATAATTCTTTATATAGTACCTTGCTATTGTAGGAGTAACCCATAATAAGGTGTGACTGTTAGTGTGCTTTAATTACTCCACAAGAAATAAGGGGCAAGGGATATTGGTAAACAAGTATTACCAATCAATCCTATTCCCTTTTAATTATAATGGCCACTGTGGTCAAAGCACCGTATAATAATTATTATTTACTCTCTAACAGCAGATGATCTTACTCATCAAGGGCAATTTTGTACCTTGATGAGTAATACGCATACAAAATACTAAACTGTTTCATTACATATTTTATGTCTGAACCTTTGTCTTTGACATTGCAACATAATAGGTTTGGGTGGGGTAAAAAAATTTTCTGGCATTCCACCGGTGGGGTAGCTAGAAATTTTGTTTCGAAAAAGGTGGGGTAATGATTTTTTCCGGCTTCATTATACTTTCTCTTCGGCCCCCACCCCTGCCATAAATAATGACCGGTCCCTTAGCTGTCATTAGTATCCCGATGATGACTAGTGAACATTAATCGAAACGTTAATATTTGTTCAGGATTTCCTTTGTTTTTTACATGTATTCAAAATGTATTTGTTGTATGATTTCGCGCGTTCTGATTGGCTAGTTGACGAGTGGAACTGACGTAATTTTAAACCATGGACTAAATATTTTATATCACGATTTTGCTTATATCTAACCTGCATGGCAGGCTCATTGAATAAAGAGCCTGCAACAATCTCTGGACAATCTCTGAACAGCTGCAAATAGTTGAGATGTTTGGACAAATTTTCTCATTGGATATCTCCTTGACAAGTCGAAGAGCATAGATACAAACCGATGTACGTGTTGGTACTTCTCTAAATAATGCAGTAGCTATACCCAATCAATTTAAAATACCGATTGACAAACTATGTATCCTACTAAAGCTTTATGTATTTATGAAACTTACTACTCGATCTACAACGTTTCTTTTATGTTATTATTAAACTTTAGCGATTTCCATACTTTATTTATTTGGAGTTTTACAGCAGACTGCAAACTACAGTGCAATTTAGCTTGTATTAAAGAAATAGAAAACGAGTCGCGTGCGTTTATCGTGTGATAATGCATGCGTTTTACACGCTTCTCGAGTGTTCTCCAACATTCCGCGAGTGCATTATCACACCATTAATATATATAATCTTTGTTCACTGTTCAAAATGCACGCACGTCATTGGTCAAAATCGATCATGTGTTCTTGTTACCTGGCAACAACGAATCCTGCGAATGCGTTATTGACAATAACGCATAAAAAATGTACATTATTGAAAATGGCTGCCAGCCAGGCTGCCGGCTCAAGGTTTGCTCGAGTCGATGAGGAAGAAATTAATGAGATTATAGAAGATGCAATACCTAAAAGTACGAAAAGACAAACAAGCTGGAGCATTCAGAGGTCAGTAAACCAAGCAAAAACTTATATTATTCGCCATTTTTCCTTGTGTAAACAAGGGCTCGAAAAAATGCGTGCAAGCAGTGAACTCAGATTATATATTAAATGAGTTAGAGACTGTGAAGTTCGTGTTTTGTTTACAAATATACGCACTTGCTGATCGTACAATGAACTCGAAATTTTCAGTACTACACTCGGCTTCGCCTCGTGCAGTATTGAAATTTCTCGTTCATTGTACGATCAGCGCGTGCGTATATTTGTAAACAAAACACTCACAGCAGTCTCTAGCCCTTAATCAACGCACGATACGCATTTTTCTATTTCTTTTATAATATAAGTAGTAGATATTACATATAGTGAACAATTTTAATCAAAAGATCAACTTTGAAATTCTAACATGTACTCGGTGACGTCACGCGCATGCATTTACTGTCTTCTAAACTAAAGTGGGTCTGTCTGTCGAATTTTCAAGCGAGCGAAAATGCCGAAGCAGCAAAAACAATACAACATTTTGAGAAAGTTTTGACGCTAAAGATGTACAAAAACGGTTTAAAATGCTGGGGGAAAACCCAAGTGATACACAGACTGGTTTGCTGATGTTTTTCAGCATTTGGGCTGCCTGATTTGCCATGAAGGACGTTAAATCGTATAGGTTTCGCCGTGTTGCTTTGAAATTATTGTATTGTTTGTCTTTCGCCGAAAATATATCTAGCAGTTTTTTATCAGAAGCATTGAAAGTACTTTGTAATTAAATCACTTATGTTCAGTTTTTGTCGCATTTCCTATGTTTTTGGTATTCCTGTATCTTTTTCAAGTTTTTTCTCGACTATTTTGCACGCTTTGTTCTTTTCGAAACAAAAACAAATTCGACGAATTGGGAGCCAGTTAATTTTCATACTGTTTCTACACGTAGAACTATTATCATTTATAGACCTGGAGCGAGGGGGATTCGGCGAAATATTACCCGAAGTGATGACATTTCCCGAGGGGCTTTGCTCCGAGGGAAATATCATCACTGAGGGTAATATTTCGCCGAATCCCCCGAGCGGAGGGTCGTCTATAAATGATATATTATACCGAAAATTAAAAGCCTCCAAGTTGAGAATTAAAAACTTGACACATACCTTCGTGAATACGATGTTTTATTTTCGGATTAACGCAAGTATCGTCGCTTTTCTTTCGAATCACATATCGTTTGGAATATTAATGACAAAGCCCCAGGTTTTAGGTTTGAAAA